TACTCCCACGAATTCTCAACAATCTGGCGCAGGGCAAATATATAGTCAGAGGTGCTTCGACCGGGCCCGAAGCCACACTACTCTTCTTGGATCTTGAGGCCAACTATTCACGGCACCTCCTTTCTAGCACCTTTGCGTAGACTTTACCTGGGATGCTCAATAACGTTATGCCCCTATAATTGGAACATTCCTTGTGGTCTGCTTTCTTGAATACGGGTACAGCAACTCCCTTTCTCATGTCCGCTGGTGTCTTTCTCGCAGTCATCACAGTTTGACAAACACGTCTTAGTCAGCAAATGGTTTGTTCGCCTAATGCCTTGAACACCTCAGGGCGGATTTCGTCAATTCCAGCAGCTTTTCCATTTTTCAAGCTTTTCAGAGCTTGCGTAATTTCATCTAAAGAGATAGTAATATCCGTACCCTTCTGCTCTACAGGCGAGTCTTCCTGTGGTTGCTCGGGGTTAAGGAGTTCCTCAAAGTACTCTCTCATCAACGAAGAATGTCATCATCTTTTGTAAGAGGGTGTCCACATCTGTCTTTCAAGACTCTTAGACTGCCTTTTATTTCACCTCGGAGCCGGCGAATGGTCTGCCAGAACACTTTGTTTGCCACGTGGGAATTCGACTCCAACACCTCTCCTAACTTCTATGAATCAACTTTGGCTTTTGCCACTGCTGTGGCTGCCGCCGTGCGTGCCTCTATATATCGCACGCGAGTAGAAGGCTCCTTGTTTCCAAGCCATTTCTTGAACGCTGCTTTCTTGTCTTTAACTGTCAGCTGTACCTCTCGTGTCCACCATGAAGATCTTTTCTCACCTCCAGGCGGCAGACCAACCTGTTTGCATCCGCAGCATAAGGCGGCAGCCTCGAGTAGGCTTCTTTTAAACAGCTGCCACTCGGTTTCCACATCAGTAGTCATCACTGGAATCTGTGCAAACCGTCGTGCGATGTTGTTTGCAAATTTCGCTCTCGTGTCCACGAAGATAATGTTTTTCATTTGATTTTCCGGTTGTTTCTGCCACTAGATCTTCGTATGGTACTGCATTTTTTACAGCGCAGCGTTCCAACAATAAGGTGATGATCGGTTGATAACTCTGCGCCTCTCTTAAGGAGAACATCCATTACTGAGCGTCTTAAATCAGACGATATGATTATCAAATCGATCATCGACTTCTGTGCACAAGCTTTCCGGTACCAGGTGTACTGATGCACTTTTCGA